TTATTAATTTAATATATACATATTTATAGTTCCTTAGAATCACTTTATTTATTTCCTTTCAAAGAACAACGCTAATCAAATTCAAGAACTCAGCACTTATAAATCTCAATAGAAAAAAAAAAAAAAAGCAGTAGTAGCATGACAACCAAAAAACACAAACCCCATTGGAACATATTTGTTTTGGTCATTGTTTTCAAAGAATAATCAATTGAATGCATCTAAGTAAGTAAAGAAGAAAATCAAGTAAAATTTTTACTTAGAATGGAAAGAAAACTAAAAAGTATAAATAAGTAAACAGCTTACCTTGAAGTATTTAGAGAGAAAATTTAGTAACAAAAAGAGCACTTGCCAGACTCATAGGAGAAAAAAAGAAAAGGCTGAGTGGATGCAACGGTGACTCGATAAGACTAAGATCTAAGTCTAAAATAATGTTAAAGACTAAAGAGAAAAGGTGGAGTCGAAACTTGAAAGTCAAAGGCTGCATGAACTATGGAGGTTGAAGAATATGAGAAGAGTTTGAAGTTTGAAGAGTTAGAGTCTTCGAGAGTATTAGGGCAAGCAAGAATAGGAAAGGTCGAGAGGTGAGTTAAGAGTAGAGTGAGATTATTTTTACTTTTAGAAGATGATGAGTCAAGAGAATCAATTAGTTAATTAGGGAATATTAGTCAATTATTAGAGGTTTAGGTGGGATTGGGAATTGGAAATTGGAAATTGGAAAACAAAATAAATAAATAATAAATTAAAAATTTTAATATTTTTAAACGGGTAAACGGGTCAAACTCGTTAACTCGATGGGTCAACCCGTTATTGACCCATGACCCGTTGGGTTCTTTTAATGGGTCATTAATGGATCACGGGTCATAAATATATGACCCTAACCCGTTTTAAACGGGTGGATAATGAGCGGGTTAATGAATTGGGTAAAAAATTGTCAAGTCTAGGCTCTACTAATGGATCCCGTTTGCCAAACCAACTTGGAGACTTGGACATCCAATTAATAATTAGTAAAAACTCAATGTTCATATCATTGATTAGTAATTTTTGAAAATTTATAATTTTAATTAATTAATAAAATTATAAAAATTCGTATACTTATCTACACTAATTCTCTAACTTTCGAAAAGATAAAGATTATCATTTATCACCTCACTTGTTAAGCTAAGGATTAATGGCAGAAGCCAAGATCCCATAGCTATTGAAGTAAGGATGGCAATGGAGCCGTGAGGGCTAGGGACACGCCATTCCCATACTCCCATTTGCAAGGTAGGAATCCTTGCAAAGATTTGTTTGATGGGGGATAAAATCTTTCCCCATCCTCCTTACTTGCGGAGATCCCATCGATCTCCCCACCAACTTATTAATTTACGATGTTGCTTTATTTTTTTACAATTAGTTTAGTTTGAGGACAAAGAAGAGGAGTTCTTCTTTAATTTTCTTATAATTTTTATATTTTTTTATTTTTTTCAATCTACATATAAGATTAGAGTTTTTTTTTTTTTTGTACTTATAAAATTAGAGTATTTAATGGTAAATGTGTTGAGTAATTGGGTTGGGTTTGGATTGAATTATTAACTATGGATTTTATCATTAAAATGAATAATGAATTGAGTAATTGGATTGGAGTTTCTTAGAATGGGTTCAATCCAATTTAAGAGTATGCAGGGATCCATAGGCTCCACGAGGGTGGGAAAAATTTTCAGTAAAATTAAATGACAAAAAAAATCCCCCATCCCTACCTAAAAATGGAATATTCTTTGAAATAGAAGCCGGGGGTAATTGCCACATTTGCATTAAAGGAATTTATATATACTTAATATCACTCAAAAGGAAAATATTTCATTTTAGGATTTTATCAACTTTTTCTCTATTTCATTTTTGTCTTCATTCAACTTTAATAGCTTAGTCTTTTGGAAAAAGAATTTTAATAATTTTAATTTGAGTTTATAACTTTTTCAACATTAATTTTTTAAAAAGATTAATAAATTATATGAATCATTGTAAAAGATTTTTTTTTCCTATATAACTCATAATGGTTAGTTTCATTTTATTAAATTCATTGATATCTTACAACTAAATTTTTCATATTGAATTGAATGTCCAAAAACTTAAATTACGATTATTAAAGTTGACCTCCAACACCAACAAACAATGGATAATTAATTAATTAATTAATTATTTTTTAACTGTATTTTTAAATATATAACAAATATATTTTTATAATTAAAATATGTAAAAAAATAGGTTAAAACCCCTTTTTGGTCCTTGGACTATTGTACAGACCCCCCGATTTGGTCCCTAAACTAAAAAAATCCTTGATTTGGTCCCTACTGTTTACCCATTTTACCCCAAATTGGTCCTTCCGTTAAAAATCCTCCATTAACTCACAGACATATCAAAAATTTAAGCCACGTCAGTTGCACAACTGGTTAAATGATGACATGGTCATACCCAACACAAAAACAACAGTGGGACCCACCAATTTACAATTTTGCATTATCTTCTTCCTCCAGCATCTTCTTCCTCCAGCATCTTCTTTCTCGAATCTTCCTTCATTCAGACAATCAATTCAATCAAACAATCAAATTGAACCCAACGGAGACTGCTGGTACAAGTCTTCTAAGGTTGAAAGGGGAAGAAGGGGGAGAAAATAGTGAGTTTGGGGGGCAAGAGGTGGGCCCCACGATTTTTTTTTTGTTGGCTCAGAATCTGACGTGGTTTATGACATGTGCCATGTGTACAGTTGACGTGTCACAATATTTTGACACGTCATCATACTCAGTTAATTAACTAGACACCTCACCATATTTTTAACGGAAGGACCAAGTTGGGGTAAAATGGGTAAACAGTAGGGACCAAATCAGAGATTTTTTTAGTTCAAGGACTAAATCGGGGGTCCGTACAATAGTTCGGGGACCAAAAAAGAGTTTTAACCAAAAAAATATAAATTTTAATTTTAATTTAATTAATTAACCAATTAAAATTATTTATATATCAATAACATTAATAAAATATAATACGTCAACTTTATATTTTTTCCCTGTAAAATTAATTAAAAAAAAAAGTGTATAAGGCGCATGTTCCAAGCGCTTTATTAATAACTAGTCAATGCATGATCAGCCATTGTTTCCAAAGGTGGAAAATAAACGGCAAAATAACAAAATTGGAAAAACAAACTCCAAAGTTACTCTGCTTTCCTCCCTCCCCTCCACCGGCACCCAGTCGGACGGTCGCCGTCTCATAAGCTAACCAAAACCTGCAGACGCAGAGATGCTGTTGCTATGTAGTTTCACGACTTTCTCGCACTGTAAAACTGTCGTTGATTCGAAAGCCGATAAGTGAGAATCTCGAGCCGAGCTTTGTGTTTTACAGTAGGTGAGTAAAGGTCTCTCCTTTTCCTTTACTTGGAATTTCTTGTATTGGATGCATGGAGGAAAATATTTACTCGATTTGGGGTTCTTAGAAAGGTGAGATGATCTCAGCTTGAACTTGATGTTTCTTTAGTGGTTATTTTCTTTTAATTTACTCAATTGAAGGAAAATATAAACAGAGTTAATTGGTTTTGTTCTTGATTCTCTAGGGTTATTCCTATTTGTGCAAATTCTGTGACATAAAAAACTGCTGAGGATGGTAATTATGTTTTTTGCTCAACCAATGCAAATTATTGGCTTGTTAAAAATAATTTTAGTTTCTGGTAATATGTATTTATTTTTCAATTGATTTGAACCATATGTTGTTATTCCTTTTTAAAGGTTGATTGTAGTCTGTGTACTGTATAATTATCTCCTATTGCCGAGGCATACCATTACGGTAACACACAACCAGAATGACTGCATAAAGTTTTGATGCATCCATGTTTTATAAGAAGATTCATCTCGTTTCCATTCAAATTTTATGACCCCTTAAATGTAAAAATTGGTCTTTGATCACCCAAGATTGATCAAAAGTCCCTGCTGCTAAATTGGAGTTTAAGAGGAGTAAATGAATGAAGCTAGTTGGTAAAAGGAAGAGAAATTCTCAGTTTTTTTTTTTTTTTTTTTTTAGTACTTGGATTAAATTTGAGGTCAACCGAAATTGATTTTTAAAATGATTTTATTCTTTTCTTTAAACTATTATGGCAGGTAATGAGTCCCTTCGTTGGAATGTTTAGCCTCGTTGAGGGCTAGTGGAACCCTTCTGACAGCTGAAGGCTTTTAATTTGCAAAATATGATAGAAGTTGAAATATTTAGAAATGTTTGCTTGTTTGGTGCCTGTGGCAGCATAATTCTGTTGCTGTTTTTCAATTATAAAGAGCTAGGCTTGGCCATTGTCCGTGTCCCTAAACTATTCTCCATCTCTGTTAGCACAAACATATCCTCATTGTCATCAAATCTAGTCAGTTTCATCTTATTTTTTGCTGAAACATTGCTAATTTCTTGATAGGACAAAACTACAAAAGCCATTCCAAATCCAAATGATTGTCCCTCTGTAGCAAAATAATTTTGCTGGGTTTTAGATGATGAGGCTGTGGTGGTTTGATACTTTGATGAAAGGTCCTGTGTTTGGTCCCGGCATGCCATAACTGATTTTTTATCAAACGCTTTTGGTCATATATTTCATAGGGTATCTTCTTTATTTTTGAATCAAAAGTGACAGGTAACCAGATTGTTTTTTAATTTTTCAAAAGGGTTTGGTGTTGAAGTAAGTATAACATAACCCATTAACTTTAATGTGCTAATGTGCATCTGTCTTTCTTTCTTTTATTTTTTGTTAGCACTCAGCCTCTGAGTAGTTAGTTTTTGGTTTTATATTTTAACCTGCTTCTTAGTTATTCAATGTGCATGTTACGCCCTTTCTTTGAAGGGGTAAAGCAGACTTATTTTTTCTTAAGAGTTTTGACTGTGAGCTTATGGCTTTGAAGGTAGCTTTCACATCTTGAAAACAACACATGCGGTTTAAATTCTTTTGTTTCTTTATTTTGCATCTTAGTGGTAAGAATCTAGCCAAAAACAAGCCTGCTCTAGGAATTAAACTTCTATATTTCTAAGTGACTTTAAGCCAGATTCCTCTGAATGTTTAGAATTGTAATGTGGGGAGCTAAATAAAATTAAAAAATTGGGGCATTCCGAGAATTGAACTCGGGACCTCTCGCACCCTAAGCGAGAATCATACCACTAGACCAAATGCCCATCTTTGGAAGTTTAATTCTGTTTATTTTCTAATAGTATATTTTAGCTGAAAATGTTCCTGTTAATTTTTTGCAGACTTATCATCTCAATAGGATTGATGTTTTCTGGTTTCTTGCTTTTGATTGTAGTTCACAATTCCATTTCCTTCGGAGGCTCTTAAAGCTGCATTTGGATCTGGTTTGGATGGGTATACTCCTTTTTAGATGAGGTATGTCCCAGGCTTTCTCACGTTAATGTCAACCTCTGCTTATATTGTCGTTACATGACAGACATTCATTTTAGAGATGAAATTGAAGAAACTAAATTTCAAATTTGTAATTAGTGAGATGAAATTCAGGCCAAGATTTATTTTACAATTTTTTAAGTTAACATTGGAAACTAAAAACTGTTGTTTGTAACATGTGTTGTTATTCAACAGTGATTTAGTTCGTTGTATTATGTGGCAGTTTAGGTGTTTTATTTATATATTTTTGCAGCTTAGTTGTTAGAATTTGCCCCTTTTTTTTAAATGTTAAAATAATTGTTGTCAGAATCTTGTCAGAAAGTAATTCAGCTGTGGTTATTAACATTGAAAACTTGAAAACTATTGTTGGTATTACATTGTGTTATTCAACAGTGATTAAGTTTGTGGTATTATGTTGCAGTTTCTATATGCAACTTAGTTGTCAGAATCTTGTCATAAAGTAAATCAATTATTATTGTTCCTTAGTTTATTTTGACTCCTCTTATCAAGTATTTCAAGATATGTTTAATGAACTGAAAATAAAACAAAAGCATTGGGGGCATTCCGAGAATCGAACTCGGGACCTCTCGCACCCAAAGCGAGAATCATACCACTAGACCAAATGCCCAACTTCGATATTAATTATGTTTAATTTGTAATTATAGATCTTACCAACCCCAGGCCTTTAACACCTAAAGAGAGAGTAATACCACTGTACCAAATTTCCAACTTTTATCTTCATTTATTTCTTATTGCAGCTCTTTCTTCCTATAGTTTCATTGATTTTCAGTGTTTACCTCAAGAGTATCAATGTTTTCTGTTCTCTTGCTTGTGATTGTAGTTCAAAATTCCCAGCTACCAATGGGCAACAAGTTGCATATAAACCCAGGTTTGTTTTAGGCCCTATTTTTTTTTTTTTTTTTTACACATTACTGATGTGAGTTCATGCTGCTTAGTTAAGGAATGAACCTGGCTTGCTCACCTTGATGTCAACCTCAACTCATTATTGCTTGTTTATTTTTAATTTACATGATTCACATAATGTTAACCTCTTTTTCAAATATTAGTTCATTCCATGTGCACATGGTGCCCTTTGTTTGGCAGGGTCAAGGCAGATTTCATTTTCGAATGACTATGAGATGTTCAGGTATAAGTTTAGCTGCCCACCTTTAAGCGTTACATGCAGTTCAGTAGTTTTATTTGTTTATTTTGCAGTTCACTGTTAAAGCAATCAAAATTGGAGTTCTCAAGTTGACATTAGGCTAAGATTTATCCAAGAAATATTTCAATTGTGTAGAAGGGGACCTAATAAAAGTTCAATTGGTTGGGGCATTCCGAGAATCGAACTCGGGACCTCTCGCACCCGAAGCGAGAATCATACCACTAGACCAAATACCCAACGTCCTATGTAGGCTATGTTTAATTTGTACTTAAAACCATGCATTTGAATCTGAACAAAACATAGGGGCATTCCGAGAATCGAACTCGGGACCTCTCGCACCCAAAGCGAGAATCATACCACTAGACCAAATGCCCTATATTTGATATATACTGTGTAATCGTAACTCTTTCTCTAATCATTTTTGTTAGTTTTGATGTACCCAAAAAAGGGGAAAAAAAAAATTTCTGTTAGTTTTGACCAGACTCCTCTCTGCCTTTTATCATTCAGTTCCTTCCTCTGGTATAATGGGATGCCACTCTGCCCCAAAAGAAATATCTCTGCAAGTCACTAATATCCATATCGTGATTCCTTTTCGATTTTAGGCTAGGTCCACCAGAACATATTTTCCTGGCCTTTAAGACTAGAAACTGGAAATCCTGTTTGTGGAGATGCATTCCTGAGTAGGAAAATGGGTATGGATCAGACTCAGGAAGTGTTGCGCCCTGGGGGAGAATTTACAACTAGACCAAATGGTTATACTATCTTGTTAAAATTGTTAACAAGAAAAGACACAGATTAGCTTTCTCACCTAATATTGCACATGTATGTAGTTGTTTACTATGTCTTTATTTCTGCAGCTTAGTGATAAGGAATCTTATCAGAAAAAATTTCTCTACTATAGTAAATATTTCAGTTGTTGATCAACAAAACAGAACATCTGGGGCATTCCGAGAATCGAACTCGGGACCTCTCGCACCCAAAGCGAGAATCATACCACTAGACCAAATGCCCAACACTGATATACTATTATCTCTGATATCTGATTTCTTTATTCTTCCCTCTCCTTGGATTTTTTTTCTTTTTTTCCAAAAATCCTTGGGGACCTAATCGTCTTAGCTGCGGCTACTGCTGCAAGTCTCGGTGCATGAGAAGTTAGATAGGAAGTGTAGATTATTTCTTCCAAAAACACTTTTAATATTGATCTCAAGAAAATTTGATTAACTTTTGCTTTAGTACATGGAAAGCTTCGATGAACTTATGCTTCATTTGGGTTTAACGGGCAGTGATTTCCTAGAAATTGTGTGTGATTATTCATAATTCTTAAAAATAAAGTGTACTGTTTTGTTTTCCCAAAAAAAAAAAAAATCATTTGTGAGGGGGAAGTAAAAAAAAAAGGGAAAATTGTAATAGAAGTAAAAATAAAAAATGAAATAAAAATGTCATTTTCAACACAGAATGAAACACCCACTAAATAAAATAAGAGTTATTATTAATTAATTAAAGGTCTAAACACTCATATTATCTAAAAAATTTCAGGAGCACTTGCCGTGAGAATCTCGACATTAGATCAAATGCTCCTGCTACAATGTTTATGCAACACGTAAATAGTAAAAAAAGATAACCCTCAATGTATTTCTGTTATTATTTGGACGCAAGTTAACGCTTTAAAATGATTAATCTTTATGATTAATATGTATTACTTATTTAATATTTTGTTGAGAGGATTGTGGTTGATGAGAAAACAATATCCCTTATTTGGTTTGAGAGAAACGGAGGGAAAAGAAGAGAGAAGAAGAGACAATATGAATATCCTTACATTTTTCTTCTTCCCTCACCTCCCTCTCCCTTATTTGGTTATGCCAAAATTATAAAGGAAATTAAAGAGAAGCTCCTCTCCTCCCCTCTCCTTCCGTCCAATTTTCGTTATTTAAATAAGAAAATATTCTCCTCCCCTTTTCCTTTTTCTCCTCAAATCAAATAATTTGTAAGAACATAATTGAGTTAGTATTTTCTAGCTCCAAAACCATAATTATGAGGTCAAAGTTAGGCGGTTTGAATCCTTATCATATTAAGCACTACTCATCTTTGCTGTCAAGTGAATTAAGGAAAGTCATGAACACCCCAATCCATTTAAATTGATAAGCTTTCGGGGTTAAGTTGAATTTTTGATCGGTAGAATTAGAGGTGATTTTGGATTTTAGCAGTCACAGATGGTGATTAATCATCAAACTCTGGAGTCTTTTCTTTCTCTAAAAGAAGTCAAGGCAATTACCAAACTCTAAATCTAAAGTTAAAAATAAACTCTTTTAAATGTATGGCATGGTCATGATAAGAGTATCCAATGCAAAGTAAACGTAAGAAATAAATAAAGATTATATCTAATTGATATATGATAGAAATGTTTTTTTAGATAAAATGTCAGTTTGAATTGAAAATGACCAAAATGGCTATTACATTATGGACCGATCAACTAAGGTTGTTGTGAATATTTTAGACATTTTTGTTTATCTAAATTGATATTTTATTTTACCTTTTTTTTGATTTGGTATATTAAATGATGAAATGTATGACACGGATAATTCTCTCATTTCCAAACCCTTCCCCATCCATATGAAAATTCAAATTTAAGATTTCTAATATAAAAACTCAGGCATTTAATAACTAAAATGTTCCCTATGAGATGGTTTTTCATTTTGCTATTCCTTAACGAAAAGGACATATTTGTTAATATGATTTGGATGGTACCCCAGTTGAGGGGCACCAAAATTGGCAATAATCATGAAAGACAAGTATAAAAGAACTGATTACAGAAAGAAGGAAAAAGAGGAACCAATTTTATGATCCCATCTGCCTAATTTATCATGATTAAATTCTTGTACTCAAAACCCTAGGTCCACCACTTTTGGGAAAAAGGAAAAAAAAAATTGCAATGCTGTTTTCCAACCTAAAATATCATCATCAGTACTTTTCTAACCCTCCTTTTCACTTTTACCTTAATCAAAATGATTACTTCGACATTACTGCTTCTTAATCAGCAATTGATTTTAATTAATATTTTCGGTTAATTGCTTTGTCGGCTGCTGCAGTTTTTGTACAATAATGGTTTGCTTCTTGAACTTATGTTGATATAAATTAAGTCCTTATGACACCATTTTAACATCATGATCATTTTTTTTTTTCAGCTTAGCGGACTGACATACGTTTTGAATCTTTTCTTTTTCTTAAAATTCCTATTAAATAAATTTCCTATTATGAAAATTGGTGTTCAATTGATACAAATAACATATTTCATAAACTGAATTGGTACTAAATTAAACCCGGAAGAACAATGTATCACAACATAACCAGTAAGGCCTCGCAATTGTGCATTCTACTGGGTCTTGGTTATAGACCAAGAGGCTGAGGCCCTAGGTTGAGCATTCTACTCCTGCAAATAATGGGTTTTCTCTTTTTTTTTTTTTTTTGAACATATTTGCAAGGGGCGGGTTTCGAACCCAGCCCAGGGAGGGGGGAATGCACCGAGGTTGCTATTGTCACTAGGCCGCAAGGGCCAGGTGCAAATAATGGGTTTTCTCTTTGCTTTTCTTGTATGAGCAATTATTATAAATCTATACTGAGTACAATTCACACTGGCTTGTACGTTACATAAAAATTAAAATGTCACAACTTAAAACCACAGGAACCAATAATGTAAGTTTGCCATTTCTTAGGAGCTTTTCACCCTTTTGTTTTGCTTAGATTGTTTAGACCAAGTTGATCATTCCAATCCATTTCATCTGTTTCTGATTGTATTTTTAATCTTAAAAGCTGACAAAAAGTAAATGTTACCTTAATATACAATCGATGGAAACGCAAGGAATTGCTTAAATTTCGGGCAAAATAATACCAAAGGTGACCAATTCATCGTCTATAAACTTTTGACATCTGTTCCCTGCAATTCACTGCACCTCCAAAAATTTCTCTCTGCCTTTGGTTTCTCTAGATATAAAAACAGGAGGACGACATAGATTGAGTTGAAGAACAAGAGAGAAAGGGGAAGAAGGGTATAGATTTTCTATACTTTCCTCCCCAAGGTCACATATCCCTTTGCTCTTGCTCTTCCTAGGGGTTCTAATAAAGCTTAGATAGACAGACAGAAATGGCAACACTTGGAGGGGCTCAACAAAAATGCATGGCCTGCAACAAGACGGTGTACTTGGTTGACAAGTTGACTGCTGATAACCGGATTTATCACAAGGCTTGCTTCCGGTGCCACCATTGTAAGGGTACCCTCAAGGTAAACACCCTTTTTAAACATAAATGTGTTCAGCTGTTTCTGCCTTCTGAGGGTATGATGTATATGTTCTTCTTTTCTCTTGGACTCTGATTTATTTAGGTGTTTTTTCAAGAATTTTGTTTCTTTATTTATGTTTGTCATCATTAATCCATAACGGGCAATTCAGCTTCTCTCCTACTCAATCTCCATAGCCTACATAGTCACCTCAGGCAGATCTCCATAACCATTTTTCCTTTGTTTTCAGCTTAGCAACTTCAATTCTTTTGAGGGAGTGCTGTACTGCAGGCCTCACTTTGATCAACTCTTCAAGAGAACTGGCAGTCTGGAAAAGAGCTTTGAAGGTAAAAACAATCTGTAAAATATGTTATCAACCTTTGTTTCCATCTTTACCAAGCTTAGAAAAAATCTGCTCTAAATTCTATCTCCAAATACTTTATTTCAGGAACCCCAAAGATTGTGAAACCTGAAAAAGTTATTGAAAATGAGGTAAATAACTCTTTCATGTACTCATACTCAATCCTAGTTTACACTATTTCATGGCTTTAAGACAACAATTTTTCCCACAGAATGCACAGAAAGTCTTGAACCTGTTTGGGGGAACCAGAGACAAATGTGTGGGTTGTAGTAAGACTGTCTACCCAATTGAGAAGGTAATAACAACAAATACTCATGTTTGTTTTGGGTATGACACAGAAAGACAGAACATAAGTGTCATTTTCATGTGATTGAAGGTTTCTGTGAATGGAACTCTATACCACAAGAGTTGCTTCAAGTGCACCCATGGAGGCTGTACCATCAGCCCATCAAACTACATTGCACATGAGGGAAAGCTTTACTGCAAACATCACCACATCCAACTCTTCAAGGAGAAAGGAAACTACAGCCAGCTTGAGAACGAACGCGAAAAAGGTCCCATGACCCAGCAAGTTACTGCTATGGAAATTGCTGCTGAATCTTGATCTTCTGGAGCCAACACTTTCTATTAGATCTGTGCCCATTCCCCTGACAACCCTCAGGTTTAGTTGCTGTGTTTTCCCAAAGGATTTCTTGTTTTTTCACAGTAGTTGCCAGTTGCAAGATGAGATTTGGTGGTGATGATGTGTTATTGAGTTTCTTGCATAATGTAGATTTTTAGCTAATATAAGAATTGATCATGGATGGACTCATGGTTTGTTTTAGCATTTGCTTGGAGTATATATGAGGATTGCTGTTAGTTGAAATATGATCTTGTCTTAGTTCCAACTTTTCATTTCTTTTTAAATCCCTTTCTTTTCTTTTATACCGTTACCACCCATTGGAAAAAGCCTTGAATTGCATTATAAATTGAGAACAGCTGAATTCCTAGGGCAGATTAATAGTAATTTAAAAAACAAAAAACCCTCCAAAATTTCGGTGGAAATTATTCACAGAAATATCCTTTTTAGTCTACACTGACAAAATAAACTATCAATATGGGGTTGAAATGTCAATAATGTTCTTAATGGATCAATTTAATACAAGTTAACGGCATCATTAACATTTCAGTCCCAAACTAGCATTTTAATATATCAATTAAAAAATATACATTATTATAGGCAGGCCATTCTATTCGTGCCATTATATCTTCAATTTGGCAAGTGTAAAGATTTAATATCACAATGGAACTTCTAGTTTTGTGCTTCAGTCATGTTAAGTCACATATATGACATCTCAAGTTAGAAGGGTCATGTTTCTCTAACTCACACCATCTCATGCCATTAAGCAAACCCCACATGAAGTTTGCCAATGACCTAGCGGTGGTAAGCTCAT